ACTTGTATTCGGAAAGAGCACTATGAGTAACACTTTGTTAATCGATTCATTAAAAAGTGATATTAACTTTTGAAACACTCATAAATTGTGATGTTGATGTCGATGTGCTATATATATATATATATATATATATATATATATATATATATATATATATATATATATATATATATATATATATATATATAAGACTGAATAAATTTTCTGTTCTATAAAAGTACTGGTACTGATACTTAATTGCTTAATTCCTAAAAAAGGTTAGTGAGACTATTCTCTCCCTTACCAGTTCCTCCCCTAACGTTTCCTCTCTGACGGTTCTTACCCTATTTTAACCGTCTGCATATTTGCAAATAAACATAGAACATAAAATGCACTTAATATAAAACACATTCTTTTCTGTACGAAATCTGCTGTGGTCATAGTATTATTTTTACAATAGGTTTACGTCTAAGGCCGTCTTACAATTGGTCTAGATTTATGTGTTTGATCATGGTCATGTAAATACATCATTAAATAAAGAGAGAGACGCTTGTTTTGGGTTGAGTCCATTATGTTTTATCTAGGGGTGAAATGTGAAACCGGTATGCCTAAAATACGAAAGTGAGATTTTTGACGAAAGTGAGCGAAAGTGAGCGAAAGTGACTTTTAAAATTTGAATTGTACCGTTTTAATAGAATTTTACTGCAGTATAGTAAAATTGCTATTTGCAGACGTATATTATAAGAAACTTATAATATTTCTTTTCAAAAATAATCACTATGATGATTAAATCGCCATTTATTTGCATAATTTCTATGCACAAGTTCTGAAACTTTCCTTTCGCTCACTTTGAAAAATACGAAAGTGAATTGTAAAATATTAAATAAAGAAGTCTACTTATAGAGTTTAAATTGAAATTTATACTAAAATTGCAGTTTGTAGACGTATAGTATCAGAAATATATAATATTTATTTTCAAAAATAATCATTATGATGATTTAATCACCATTTGTTTGCATAATATCTATACACAAGTTCTGAGATCTTCCTTTCGTTCACATTAAATAATACGAAAGTGACTTGTCAAATATGAAATAAAGCGTTGAATTGAAAGTTATACTACTAATATTGCATATTCAGGCCTAATTTAATACATTTTCAGTTTAAACTCTATTTCTAATAGTTTACTAGTCACTTTCGTATTTTTCTATGCCAGCAAAAAGGAAGGTAACTAAACTTGAATATAGAAATTAGGCAAATAAATGGCGATTTAATCATGATTATGGTTATTTATTATGACATATATAATAAGTTGCTAATAATATACGTCTTCAAACAACTATTTTACCGTAAACTTCTATTAAAACGGTGCAATTTAAATTTTAAAAGTCACTTTCGCTCACTTTCGCTCACTTTCGTCAAAAATCTCACTTTCGTATTTTAGGCAAACCCATGTGAAACCTTAATTTACAATTTATATAACATTTAATGTTTTCGATAATTTTAATATTTGTAGTAATTCTGGAGTTGTTTCAACATATTTTTTTCGGGGATTAAATTGTGATAAAAACAATTAAAGTCAGAACTGCAATGGAAATAACTTAGTCCACACCTTTGTTGATTTGATCACGTGACAATGTAAGCCAATGAAAAAACATCAACAAACAGGCAGCCATTCAGGAAGAGGGAGGGTTTATTTCAGAGCGATAATTTAAATGTACTAGCAAGGTTAAACTGTAAGTATTGATTTTTTATGCTTTATTTATAATGTAGATAAGTATTTATTTAATGATGTGCTTGATTTTCAATTGGCAGTTAGTGTAAACTATGATTTAGAATGACTAGGTGACCTAATTTACAAGCTGGCTGGCCGTTTTGGCGGGGAAAAATGGATGGTTTGTTATTGTTTGTATATATCTGTGTGTTGCCTGCTCTGAAGGTTGTTTATTTTTTATAAAGTGATTTCAAGTAGTAAATAGTTTGTGCATTAAACTTACGTAGCACCACGGACTTTAATTGACGATATAAAATAAATGAGCGAGAGTTGTTTCGTCGAACTACCGGTTAGGCGAACTAATTACTAAATTAGTAATTTTATAGGAAGTGGCTAGCCGTACGGGCCCGTACGGCTAGCCAAAAGTTCTAGCCGTACGTGAGTCACGTACGACTAGCCTGGACACACTGTATTGGCTAGCCGTACGGCACTTTTCAAAATTATATGGAAGTCGAAAATGCATTTGTTATTTTGTGTCTTTAAACAACGATTTTAATCAAATCTCCACATTTGTCCTAGCACTTACAAACTTGCTCGCATAATTTCAGTCGGCCATATTCCCTAGCCATGAAAGATAACTCCCTGTTTCCCTGTCTAAAATTCCACCAAATTATTCCCCTTTCAAATGAACTCAAAGAAGGGACCTTTTAAAATGACTTTGTATTTATTTATTCGATTTTTTGTTCAGAAACGGACAATTTTTTCTTTACCTTTGTTTAATTTGCTTTCTATCGATATATGGTTCCTCTGGTAAACATATGAGTTTTGATGGTAAACAAATGAATTTTCTGAACCGAAAGTAATCTAACACACATCGTTGCTGTCATCACATGTAAACAATACATTAAATCAGTAAGAATATTGAGATATTTGTTTGACTATCAGTTTCACATGTAAAATATTAATATGGAAAACAACTATGTGTAGTTTATGTGCATTGTTTTAATGTGTTTGTCTGATATTTTAGTTGTAAACGCCATGTACACTTAGTGTCGCTTCATAGCAACCGATTTAAAACGTGAGCGGTAACTGAACGAGATATGGCAAAGCGCATGCTCGCGCACTGACTTCCGCTCTATCGAAATATTGCATAGACGTATAGAGAAAGTTCGTAAGTGCCTAGTGTGTTCACTTTAATAAAGATGCTCCGCAATTTTGCACACAAAAAATACGATCGAGTAAGCGTTGTATAATCTATCTTAATAAAATTGAGTGTCAAATTAAGTTGCATGTTATTTATAACGTCCTTAATTTTCATGCTTATGATTTGTATGAAAGATGAATTGTTAAATCTGTTAATTAAGCACATGGATCGAATAAATAATGATCGGAGGGAAGTAAATAAATAAATAAAAAGAATATTAAAAAAAACAGTGAAAAGGAAAAATAATTTAATAATGCAAACTTTTCTTAATGATGGACGATGGACATACTTCTATACCGGCGGTAATTGACGCAATTATCAGAGCCCAACAACAATTTTTTTTCGGTGTTTTTTTTAATTCAGTTTAAAAATTAAACTTAATGAAACAAAAAAAGATTATTATCAAATTTTGTAAACTATTTCAATTGATGTTATTTAACTGCAACCAAACGCTATTTTTTCTCGACGTCTTGAGATGACAAAGTAAATTATTTACTGTAGCCAACACGTCGATCTAAAAAGTAAACATTCTTGACTAAAACCCTCGCTTAAAGTCATAATTAACATATGCACTTTCGCCTTCAATGTATATTTTTGAAAAGTGCCGTACGGCTAGCCAATACAGTGTGTCCTAGCTAGTCGTACGTGACTCACGTACGGCTAGAACTTTTGGCTAGCCGTACGGGCCCGTACGGCTAGCCACTTCCAATTTTATATTTCAGAACTCAATTAATGTACACACATGCCAATATGAGCCATAGCATGTAAACGTACATTACATAAAGAGGCAGAGCAACAGATAAGGTGCGTATTTGCGTATTTACGCAATTTATTTCATAAAATACGCAATTGATTTTTTAAGAATGCGTATCAAAACCCATTAAAAAAAATAAAAAACGCAATTGTCTTAAAAACCTGTGCGTATTGTCATTTTAATCACCGTAAAATTAATCTGTCGTATGCACGTAGTTTTGGACAAATAATAGCGATATGCATGCTATCCGAATATTACCGAATCAATGCTAACTAATCAACGGTCTCCGGTCTTCGACGGTCCCCGGTCTCCAAAGACCGACTAAGTTAAATCAATAAAGCATGACACCGTCGTTTGTCTACTCAGGTCGACGGTCTTTACAGGCCGGCAGAGACCGTTGATTTTGTGGAGACCGTCAATAAGTAGGTCCCACCTGTATCAATAGACGCTTTGAAAGCAATATGGCGTCGTACAAAAGGGAAAATGATTTGAAACAAAACAATCGTAAATAATAAAAAATCGGTCAGAAAACGAACTTGTTAAAAATATTCTTATGAAATATAACTTGAGCATTTTATATAAAAAATAAAATAATTGTGAAAAGTTCTAGTAAATTGTTAATCCTATTTTCTTTTTAAAACAGTAAAATTTCATTGATATTGAAACCATAAAATTTTCATAATTGAATACCCAATTGATCTTGAAATCATAGGGTATCGAGTTTTGGAATACCCAATTAAATGTAGCCAATACCCAATTCCAAAAGAAATGATGGAGTAATACCCAATTCACTTTTAAAGCTTATCTGTTGCTCTGAAGAGGCATAGCATACACATGCAAATAATATTAAGACAATTCATCTTAACAAAATGGAGAGAAGCACGCATTTTCAAGGACATGTATTAAAGACAAGATATTGGAAATTATAAAAATTATATAAACCTTATATTTATTTTTTTATTTAGTATAGTAGTTATATTCTACATATAAAGCTTAACTCAACACTAAAGATCTCAGTAAACAAAACAACATAAAAATAGATACATGTTGTGATGTACGTATAAAAGTGAAGCCTGAAAAAAGAAAAATGATTTAAAATTTACACAAATATAGATAAAGTGAAGTCTGTAAAAACATAAAAAATATTTTTCTTAATCTATGTTGAACTGTATCCACAAATGGTAAAAGCTTAAACAGAAGGACAAATGTTATCAATGGGAATAAAATTAACATTATAATTTATACACAGAAAAGTAAAACCTGGAAGAGAAAGAATTAATTATGTATTTTATAATCTGATTATATATACACAAAAAACAAGGCATACAAAAAATAAATGTAAAAATATTTTTCTAAAAACCCAAATTAAGAATATTTGTGTCATGATTTTGTACGTATTATTTAAAATACTTTATTCATCTCTATATAAACAATTGATACAGGCATAGCATTAAAGAGAATCTACTATGGTTTTTTTACATAATAAACAACAACAATCTTTTTTCATTCTTTATCATCACTCAATATAAAACTTAAAAACTGTCCTCATAAATCCTGTCGTTGAAGTTATTGGATTGTGGGTGCATAATCTCAGTAGTTGGGAAGTAGTCATTACATCAACCAGGCGTCAAATGAGGCTTTAATGTATTTTTTTTTTTTAATATTTTTTTTTCTCAAAACTTATTGAATTAATCCAATAACAAACAAATCATTATCAAAATAGGTATAATAAATAGACATACTTCTTCAATGTATTCTATTCATTAATGAAATTTTGTGTCATAATTTGATTACAACAAACAAATTGATGATAAAACCACTTTATATACATGAACCATGCCTACTATGCCTTTAATTTTAAAATAAGATTGACGAAACCTCTTTCGCACCTCTTCATAATGTAAGTCCGCCGAAACAGTAGTTTGACGAAACCACCATAATTCATATAAATCCATGGTAGCACTTTCTCTCGGGCCTAATTTTTGTTGAAACGGTGGTTTTTTGTCGATTTAGTAATTTTCTCTACTCTAAGTACTGGCATGTGTGGCGGACATGGTAAGGTGCCTAAATGTTGACATGGTCATTGTAAATATTCAAGGTTTATTCGCCTGTGATTTTCTTTCTTTTATGACAAATTTCAATAAATGGTCTCTTTCAAAAGGAAATACAATGTATACATTAAATTTTAGATTGCGCAGTTTCCTAAAAAAATTTTATCTTAAATTGCTAATCAAATAAGAAATTTTTGCTATAGCTTTTCCGTCGAAGCCAGGAGGCTAACTTGGGGTTCTTAAAGGGAGAGAAATTGCTGCTGGCATGGCCTTTGTGTGTTTTTTTTTTGCCGCAAAGGGTCAACTTGGGCTTATACTAACTCGGACCAGGTCAACTCGGCCTTCTATTAGAAACCTATTTCGGTATGGATTGTTAACATTGTTATGAAAAAAATTTAGGAGTGAATTACTATAGAAGTATTCAAAGGTATGATCGCATGACCAACAGAAATTGAAAAAGTTGGCAGTGAACACGTACGTGTTGTTTGAAATAATCTTTGTTAGGAAGAGATGTCGCGACAATAAATGTTGAATATTGGTCTTTAACTAGAATTTTTATGACAATAATGGTACTTGTTTTTTGCACTGTTTGTTCCTTGAAATTATCTTTGTTAAGAAGAGATGTTCAAGTTGAGACAATAAATGTTGAATAGTGATCTTTAAATTGAATCTTTATGGAAATAAATGTAATTGTTGTTTACACTGTTTGTTCCTTGGCGGCCAATGCAGTTTGAACAGTACGTTGTGCAAAGAGCAGATGAAGTGGGCACAGGAAATTGGCATTCTATAAGGAAATAATTCTGAATTTACGACAAATGTACCCCTATATGCTATAAATATATGCAAGGAATGCATTGCTTTCTTCACAGTTAATACACATTTGATCTAATTACGCACATGGGAAATCAATGTCAACAAACTTGTTTTGATGCACAGTACAAATTTATTCCTTTTACAATTCAGGGGGTTTTTTTTACGGAAAGGGGAAGATGCTGGGTGCTGGTAGGGAGGGGAAAGATATGTGAAAAATGTCGATTTGGGGAAAATTATGAGGTTAATAATTCTATAATATATCTTTTTTCCCCTAAAAAACTTTATCATCATGCAAAAAAATCTTTGTGGTGTGACATCTTATTATGTATGGTGGTGAATGGTTTTTATACTTCCATTATTGTATGAAATTTAATGCGGCATACTATAGGTGTAATAGTGTATCTGTGACACACTTCGGCTCCATACAAGTCATTTTCAATACAAAATATATTACTTTCATAAAAATAACCAAGAAAATGGCAATATTTTGTTAGCAACTGATTTCCAGAAATAGTACCGTTCAGTACAGGATATAGCTAAGAAAAAAATGGCAACCTCCATGTTGAGATTTTGCTTGCAGTTTCCGGCAATTTTTTTGGTTATTTTTGGCTGCAATTGGTGGGTTATCCTTGATAAAACTCAGAAAGTTAATATTTTAAACCATAATAATATTTTATTTGATTTAGTTCAATAGGAAAAAATAATGTTTCAGGAAATATCACTCATGTGGTTATATATACTTGGTTTTTATTGCATACAGTATCGCTTAACAATGGTATTTCTGTTTATGTCCACCTTAAAATTTGATGATTCTTTTGAGGAAATTTTCAGTGTTGTCCTGGGGATTTATCGGTCATGGATTGGGGATTACTTGTCTATTTTCTATTGGGAGCGTTGCCTTTTTACCAGTATCAGTTGTATAGGGGAAAACCACTGCAACAGAATTTTGTGCACACTATGAAATGTCATGACAATTTCCTAATGAGAAGCCCAAATTACTTCCCTTTTATGCTAGAGTTGCATTTCCTTATTAGTTTTTGGGTATATTTTTTGTTCCTATTTAATGAAAAGAACAAAAACTATTTGTTAAACATTTGACATTTTGGTTAAGAATTTATTTAAGAACTAATGCTAGAGGGAACAGATTTTTCGGGAAAAATAAATAATTATCTTCAGTCGGTAGCAGTATAGTCAGTGACATCGGCGCATGGAGTGCCTGTGACTTTTTGTAGGGGAAAAGATAGGGCAATAAATTAGAAAAGGGGGGAACCTAAAATCAGATTTAAACATGTGAAAATGGTATTTACCTTCATATTTGTGGAAGAAGAAATTATTTCAATTTGATTTGCCATGCGTGGCTATTGTGGGGAAATGCTTTTTCCTTGATTAAAGGAAAATGTTACAAAAGTTGGGTTGAAAATAGACACATGTTATTTTATATAAAGGTGACACATGTTTTGTTTAGCACTATTTAGGACGTTTGGGTGGTTAAGATTTAATAGATTGTTTTATCCTTTTTTAGGCATAATGTGCTTGTGAAGTTTAAAAGTTAAGTGTAGATGTGTTTATGGAGTTAAAGCATTGGTATTGGCACAACTAAGGCGTTGGGAGGCACAGATATAGCGAAGTGTTCAGGTAAGTAATTTGTTTTCTTTGTGGAAATCATGGGTTTGGTTGGAGCTGCTATCAACATTTATAGTGCTTGTGCATGTGTGTGCTTTTGTTGTTGATGAATACTTTTTCTTATTAAAAAAAAGAAATTATGCATTTGCCTTAATATTTGGCAAGAAATTGTTACTGAATTTTTTATGTGCATTTGTTTTTCTAGAAAAATTTAAAGTTGAAGAAAGAAAATTTGGTGTGCATAAAAAATATCCAACAGTCTGTTAAAGATTTAGTTGATGGTTGCTCGAAACGATAAATGTAAAATCTTAAGTTTCTATTTTTTACCAATTTTGGGAAGCAAAGTTTATTGTAAATAAGCATGTCTGGAAACACAAAAGCCTTAAAGCAAGGTATATGCTTATCTTTTTAGGTTAAAAAGTAATTGCATCAAAAACTGGTAGTAGGCATGTGTGGTGTTGTGTTCCTGTGACAGTCCCTTTATTTATCATTGTTTGCCTTCATTATTGTTCTTTTCCCCCTTTTTAGGTTTGGCTTTGTTTGTGGAGTTGAAGAGTCGATATTGGCAAATTTGGAACATTGGTAGATTGATAGTAAAGTGTGCGTGTTATTGGCAAATGTAGAACATAGGAAGATAAGGTTATAGTGCATTGTGCAGGTATGTTGATTCCCCCCCTTTCTAGCCCTTGACTAACATAATTGGTAGGTTTTTTTTTATAGAAACTTGCCATAAATGGGTACATGGAAGTGTTCAATTATGGAAAACTGAAAAATAATGAAGACTTTGTGATAAATAGTTTTCAAGATAATGAGATATTAGAGAACAAGTGACCCAAAATCAGTAGGGGTTCTCTAATAGGTATCACCAATCAGTATTTGAAATATGAAGACTTTGTGATAAATAGTTTTCGAAATTAATAATAGGGGTCATCTACTGCTTATGAACATTCATTAATAAATAAATAAACATGGAATTTCAAAATGCTGGACAATATATGGTTTGATAATCTGGTAACAATTAATTAATTGATAACTGAATTCTAATTTAATAAGACCTACATTTTGTATCTTCTATTAACCTTTAAAAGAACGAAAACAAAGCGCAAGGCATAATTTTCTGATTCAAAAACCAGACCATGAAAGAATTTTTTGAGTAGGGGTAAATTTTGTGAGTCGGTCGCGTTACTGCAAACAAACATTTTTTTAAAGGATGTCCTAACTATGTAAATTTGAAGCATTTTTCATAGACACAGCAGTTTGAACTTGTTACAGGGACTTTTCAATGAAAACGGCCAATTTTTGCAATATGCTAATGGGGTAAAAGGTTAAGATAACCTACACTAACATAATATTCTATAAATCACATATCCTGCATTCAGACTGTTCAAGCAGAAAAGAATAATTTTTCATTGACACATCTATAGTGTTACACTGTGTATTTGCACTATGTTTGTATAAACATATGATGCCACGTCAAAATATCAAAATGTTTGTTGACACTTAGAACCACATTCATGAATTTTATAAGCCTGAATTTTAGCTAATATTTTAATAAAAAAAGTCATAGACCTATGACAAGCTTTCTAGAAAGGACATACAGTTCAACTTCGTTCGCTCGAGCTTGGATGGCTCGAATACCTCCCTCCGCTCGAACTCATCGCCAAGTCCCGGCAAATTCCTATATAATATATATTGTTCTACCTCGGATCGCTCGAACACCCATGGCTCGAACTCTCGAACCTGATCTCTGGTCCCTTCAGAAGAAATATAGTGTAAATCACACCTTTTTGGTCGAACACAAACAGGCAACAAAAGTTGCATGTCGACAGGTTCTAAATAATTGACAGGCGCGACACATGTTTTTAACACCATGTGATGGTGACAAGGGCAATTAAGGTTAACTGATACAAATTAAAAGGTGTTGATACCAATTTGTTTGTTATGATAAAATTGTATATTTGCCGTCTTTAGTAATAATAAAAAGAAAATAACCCCTGAAATGCCAAAAGTCAATAAATGAATGACGTTTACCTGGACGGCTTTAATTACAACCGTGGTTCATGTAATGTGAATTGTAACAGTGTAATCTATTTATAGAATGATACTTGTATGTGTGTTTATTTTAGTAAATGACTACAAAAATATGCTGCTGTAAGATGTTCTTTTGTTAATATTTAATTAATGCATTGTTTAAAATAAAATTCATAATAAACATATAAATATATTTTGAACATTGTTCACAGTTTTAATGATTGCCCAATCGAACCCAACCAATTACAATATGCATGAATATAGATTAACACAGTATACCGTTAATACTGTTTCAATAGGATAATAATTCTAACTAGGACAATTCAACAAATGAATGTACTGCAAACAATTATATTGACGTATTTATCATTTGACCGATGTAGGTTTGAAAACCTAGAGGCCTTTGTTCTATGTAATAATAGTTCAACCTCGGTTGGCTCGAACTACCGATCTCTTGAACAAATTTGCACAGGCCCTCGGACTTTGAGCGAACGAAGTTCGACTGTATATTAAAGGAATTACATTGGCAGCAAAACTTTGGGACTTTAGCAAAATCTGTTATATAAATTGTAAAAGCTGTATATCAGTAATACATAATTTATAAATTTACTACTGTACATTTCAGGCACTCTACCATGCACTCTTGATGTAGAGTACTCCTACCCTTTGGATTATGCCCAGCAAGTGCACTATCCCAATTCCCTATTCTCAATATGTTGGTTCAATATATATTAGGACCCCAAGAAAGTTCCATGAGATTTGTGTTTGTGCAGAGGGATCAGGTTAGTTTGCCATAATATTTTTATGCCCCCGCCATGTAATGGCCGGGGCATATAGTGTTACCCTGTTCCGTCCTTCCGTCATTCCGTCCTTCCGTCATTCTGTCATTCCGTCATCATCAGTTTCCGTTCATTATCTTAGTAGCGGTTGCACACATTCAACTCAAATTTGACATATGGATATGTCATGAGAAAATACAGGTCAATTTCGAATTTGGTCATGGTTCGATGATTTTTGGCAGAGTTATGCCCCTTTTAATTGAAAATAATATGAAATTTTCAGTTTCCGTTCATTATCTCCCCAACGGTACAACACATTCAACTCAAACTTGACATATGGATATGTCATGAGAAAATACAGGTCAAGTTCGAATTTGGTAATGGTTCGATGATTTTTGACAGAGTTATGCCCCTTTCACTTGAAAAAAATAATATGAAATTTACAGTTTCTGTTCATTATCTCCCCAACAGTACAACACATTCAACTCAAATTTGACATATGGATATGTCATGAGAAAATACAGGTCAAGTTTGAAGTTGGTAATGGTTCGATGATTTTTGGCAGAGTTATGCCCCTTTCACTTTGAAAATAATATGAAATTTTCATTTTCCGTTCATTATCTCCCCAACGGTACAACACATTCAACTCAAATTTGACATATGGATATGTCATGAGAAAATACAGGTCAAGTTTGAATTTGTTAATGGTTCAATGATTTTTGGCAGAGTTATGCCCCTTTCACTTTGAAAATAATATGAAATTTTCATTTTCCGTTCATTGTCTCCCCAACGGTACAACACATTCAACTCAAACTTGACATATGGATATGTCAAAGGAATGCACAGGTCAAGTTCAAATTTGGTAATGGTTCAATGATTTTTGGCAGAGTTATGCCCCTTTCACTTTGAAAATAATATGAAATTTTCAGTTTCTGTTCATTATCTCCCCAACGGTACAACACATTCAACTCAAATTTGACATATGGATATGTTTTTGAAATGCCCAGGCCAAGTTCCAATTAGGTCATGCTTCAATGATTTTTGGCAGAGTTATGCCCCTTTTACTTAAATAATATGAAATTTACAGTTTCTGTTCATTATCTACCCAACAGTGTTACATATTCAACTCAAATTTGACATATGGATATGTCAAAGGAATGGGCAGGTCAAGTTGGAATTTAGTCATGGTTCGATGATTTTTTGGCAGAGTTATGTCCCTTTCACTTTGAAAATAAAATAGATACATCTTAGGAATAAGCAGTTTAAGTTTGAATTTGGTTGTGGTTCAATGATTTTGGACAAACTTACCTTTCTTGAATGTTGGAAAAATTTTGAACTTTCAGTTTCAGCACTTATACTTTTGTGGAAATGTATGTAGCCATTTTTTTGGCTACAAATATGAAATATGCTATTTTCAAAAGGTTTAGACTGAATAATTTCAGTGCCTTGAACATTGTATGAAAATGGTTTGTGTTAACATTGAAAAGTTTTAAGGGCTTTGAACTTAAAATGAAGAAAATAATTTGTGCAAACAAATTTGGAACTAAATATTATAACATTTGAAATTTTGGCTGCATGCGGGGGCATCCGTGGCATGATGACACATTTCTAGTTTGACATTTTATCATGAGCATATTGTAAAAAATATTTAAGAATATTATAAATATAAAGGTATTTTTTTGTAATTTTCTAATGTCAAATGTGTTCCTTTGCCATACATTTTTAGCTCACCTGTCACAAAGTGACAGGTTGAGCTTTTGTGGTCGCTTTTCGTCCAGCGTCCGTCCGTCTGCCTTCCGGCCGTCCGTCTGTGAACTTTTACTTTAAATGACATCTCCTCATAAACCATTAAGCCAATTTCATCCAAACTTCTCAGGAATGTTCTTTGGTGGTCACCTTTAAAAATTGTTCAAAGAATTTAATTCCATGCAGAACTCTGGTTGCCATGGCAACCGAAAAGAAAAAAACTTTAATTATCTTCTTTTAAAAAAACCCAAAGAGCTAGAGCTTAGATATTTGGCATGAAACATCTTCTAGTGAGTGCCTACCAAGTTTGTTCAAAAACAAGCGCCCTGGAGTCAAAATTGGCCTGCCCAGGGGGTCATTGATTTTCCCAATATGCATATAGTAAAAACTTAAAAAAAATCTTCTTTTAAAGAACCAAAAGAGCTAGAGCTAAGATATGTAGCATGAAACATATTCTAAAGAGTGTCAACCAAGTTTGTTCAAATAAAAGCCCTGGGGTCAAAATTGGTCCCGCCCCAGGGGTCATTGATTTTCCCTATATGTATATAGTAAAAACTTAAAAAATCTTCTTTTAAAGAACTCAAAGAGCTAGAGCTGAGATATTTAGCATGAAACATGTTCCAATGGGTGTCTACCAAGTTTGTTCAAATAAAAGCCCTGGAGTCAAAATTGGCCCCGCCCCAGGGGGTCATTGATTTTCCCCATATGTATTTAGTAAAAACTAAAAAAATCTTCTTTTAAAAGAACTCAAAGAGCTAGAGCTAATATATTTAGCATGAAACATCTTCTTAGTGAGTGTCTACAAAGTTTGTTCAAATAAAAGCCCTTGGTTAAAATTGGCCCTGCCAGGGGTAGGGGACGGCAGATCATTGTTTTTCATTATAAGTGTGTATATCATGAATCATCTTCTTATAGGTGTCTTCCAAGTTTGTTCAAATAAAAGCCCTGGGGTTCAAACTGGCCCAGCTCCGAGGGCCTACATACAGGTGAGCGACCTTAGGGCCATCATGGCCCTCTTGTATAAATATTCTTTTATGCCATGGTATTTTTCAGTTGTGAAAAGAATATTCAGTTAAAAATAATCTTAATTATGCCCCCTTCGAAGAAAAGGGGGTATATTGTTTTGCTAATGTTGATCTGTCCGTCAGTAGACCACATGGTTTCCGCTGATTATCTTGAAAACTATTTATCACAAACTCTTTAATTTTTCACATAGTGATTGGCCATAACTAGTAGATGGTCCCTATTGATTTTGGGGTCACTATGTTAAAGGTCAGGGTCACAGAGGCTTCAAATGTCAAGATGGTTTCCGCTGATTATCTTGGAAAGTATTAAGCACAAAGAAGTCATATTTCACATATTGATTGGTCATAACTAGTAGATGGCCCCTATTGTTTTTTGGGTCACTATGTTAAAGGTCAAGCTCACAGGGGTCTTAAATGTCAGAATGGTTTTAGCTGATTATCTTGAAAAGTATTCATCACAAAGTTGTCATATTTCACATATTGATTAATCATAATTAGTGGATGAACCATAGTAATTTTTGGGTCAAAGGTCAAGGTCACAGGGTCATCATATTTCTGATTTTGATTGGTGGCCTCTATTGATTTTTGGTCTATAGTTTTCTAATATCTGATTATCATTTGAAAACTATTTATCACAAAGTCTCCATTATTTTTCTTTTTTCCATAATTGAACACTTCCATGTACCCATTTATGGCAAGTTTCTGTAACAAAACTACCAATTATGTGTGTCAAGGGCTAGAAAAGGGGGCATATGTGTCGTTCGACATTCTTGTTTTAAGTTTCATTTTAAGTGCTATTTATATCCTATACAATTTTTTTAAACTTCTAATTTATATGTATTTTAGGACTTCATGGAAGTGTCAGTCTCAACATGCTCTGGAAAGTGGAGAAACAATGCAACAGGTTGCCAGTATTGTCCACAGTCATCAAGACATGGTCACAATATCCCACTGCTTATAGATGATCTAAAAAGCCATTGAAAGTCATTTTAATAGTAAAACCCATGAGGCCTGCTGCTATAAGGACTAATGCTATATTGACTAGTGTGTGGATCATATTAATTAATGGTTGCCTATGTCAGCTTACCAGTAACTTACTTCCATAATGTTAAAACATTTCATGTGATTGTGTTTTGTGTAATACAACATTTGTCATGTCACTTTAAGTATAGAATTGCATTGAACCTATGCATTTTATGAATTGATCAACTGTAATCCTGTCTTTATAAGTTTTTAAAGTCTTGATTTCAAGATAAATAAACAGTTTTAGTTGTTTGTGTGACTATATCTCATTGAAAATGACTGCATAAAATGTGAAGTGATAAGCTTCAGTACTTGCTGTCAAGTTTTAAATATTTTATACTTTTAGGATATGAAAACTATTTTATCTATGACAATGATAGATGAGTTAATTTTTTATGTTGATATTAGTGTAGAATGACTTTGTAAAATTTACATAAATCCTGAACAGAAGCATCAAAATCAAAGAAATTTGCATGGTAGCTAGGCGACTAAAATTTCCTTCAGTTAAAAAGGATTTTTAACAGGAAGAACATATTAAAATTAAAAAGACTCTGTATGTTTGATATCATTGTAACTCTTTCAGAACTTAATCTCCTGCATGCCTGAAAATTTGGAAATTTGGAAATTTATAACAAAATAATATATGATAACCCGAAGTGCAGTGCAGTGCAAAAGAATTAGTACTCTGAACTTCTTAATTTTTTGAGTAATTGCCCTTTGTGTTAATTTTCATACTTTAATTTCGTCTGGGCCATTTCTCTTCAACTATAAAACCTATGGACTTAAACTTCATAGAATGATAGATCTCATTTTATTGCCCTTTGTTAATTTTCATATTTTATTTTTGTCCAGGTCATTTCTCCTAAAGTACAAAAGCTATGGACATGAAACTTCATAGGATGATAGATCTCAATAAAAAATGTGCATTGTACAAGAACCAATAATCTGCATTTCTTATTTTTGAGTTATTGCCCTTTATTAATTTTTCATAAATTATAAAAGCTATGGACTTGAAACTTCATAGGATGATATATCTTATTGATAAGAAGTATAGTGCAAAGAAAATGCTGCTCTGCACTTCTTATTTTTTGAGTTATTGCCCTTTGTTAATTTTCTTGTTCTGGCCATTTCTCCTAAACTACATTGTTCACAAGGCCACATATCCGACTCGGGAAGTTCTGGTTCATTCAAATAGCCAGTTGTGCACTTAAAATTTGTTAAATTTAAAACAAAATTATGGAATATATTGTGGCTGCTTGGCAACACTCTTTGATTTTAGCTTGACTGTTCGATTAAAAAAAGTAGAGCTTTTGTAGTCACCCAAACGTCGATGTAGACGTAACAACTTATGTTGAAGTTTTTATGATATACCTCAAATATTTTCAAAGTCCATTGCCATATGGCTTTGAAAATTTGCACAATTGTTCACCATCATGACCCCAACCTGTAGACAGGAGGAGGTGTCTGTATCAAGCATTTTGAGATAATTTTTTTACTTAGTATTTACGTTATAAAGTTTTTGTTATACCTCAAATATTTTCAAAGCCCATTCACATATGGCTTTGAAACTTTGTGCACTTATTCACCAGCATGACCCTTACCTGTAGACAGGAGCAGGTAACTACTAAGCATTTTGACAGAATTATGCCCCTTTTTTCGACTTAGAATTTACATTTAAGTTTGCATACCACCTCAGATATTTTCAAATTCTATTGACATCTAGCTTTGAAACAAGTTGAAATTTTATACTCTTCTTTGAGAGCATAATAGGACTCTCTTCAAGGCCTATAACTGTAACATGGTTTTAAAGGAAAATTATTCCCTTGTTAACTAAGAAAATTTTACATTATCGAGGCCTTTTTACTGTCAAGCACTAATAATAGTCCAGCATTGCTTCCCTACCTACAGCTCTTGTTTCTAATTGTTTAGGTATTAAGTAAACCAGTTATACAGCATTATATTATATGGAAATTAACACTTGATCAAACAATAACATACAGGCAAAAATACTGAGTTTCTGCTAAAATTAACATGGTTTTCTATCACTAGTCAAGTGTACAGAACCTGTATGTAATATCTTAAATGAAAGATTTTTTAAAAGTAAATAATAGACATTGTAATTTTATTTAAAATTAATTTATCTCTGCTGCTTTGTTAGCTGTATTTTGAAATATGTGAAAACTTTTAAAATAAAAAAATTCCACGGTTGCTAGCTACCTTTATGTTTTATTTGTGTAATGATGTCCTTTATTTGGTACAACTACCTTTTATGTTGTTACACTTTAGTCATATTTAATTTACTGTTGTATTAAACTGTTGTCTGTTGTCACAGTAAGTGTTTGTCAGAATAAGATTAAATAATAAATGAATAATAAATGGACACTGTGTTTAGTTCTTCTAGGTGTTTGGACTTTACACCTCCTGGATGTTTCACCCCTGGACGTTTCGCCCTCAAAACCCTGGTCTTTTCATCTCCACTTTTTATAATATTATGGTATCTCTAAACAGTATTATAACCTGTTAGCACTATAGAAATGCAATAGAACCATTTGGTATTGATTGTTGCAAGTGTTATAAAATACACATTACACAAAAAAAACCAGGAATAGGTCCGTTGCTATATCTCGTGACATGTTCATTTTACATTATACCTTTCATGCAGCAAACTTTAAGTCTTCACAAAAAGTAGTATGCAATCGTACCTATATTACATACGAATGTATGTAATATTTTTCTTGTTATAATATTCATTAAGAAATATTATTCGATCAAGTCAAAACTAAAATGATAACTATTAAAAAAATTGGGAAAGAACTGTCTGCATATTTCAAATTTGAGAGAGAACCGTCAGGGGAGGAAACGGATTGAGAGAGGATCATCAGGGGGAGGAACTGATAAGGGAGAGAATAGTCTGTCATTCCTAAAAAAGTATTGATACTTTAATACGGAGCTAAAATCTAGTACTTGTACTGGTAATGGTACTGTATAACTGGCAAGTACTGGTACTGGTACATAAGTTAGGGTTTGGGGTGTCATATAGAATTCATTTGTCTGTCCGTCTGTCATACTGGCCTGCTGTGCGTCATTAAACTGACAAAACAGTGAAATATAGGGGCACATTTCTAGTTTAGCTATGTAACAAGATACACATAGCATACTATTCCAATGAGATTACAAAGAAAGAGAGCAACATCTTAAGGCCTCAACAGACGGTAGGATTTTTAAGTACAACACCAATTAAAACTAAGATGTACAGACAAATCTTAATGTGTGAAGGCTACTATTTCTTGATTTCGGAAACCTTATGTCTAGATGTAAGGGATAGGACATGTTCTATTTTGGAAATCTTGTCGTACCGATTTTTTCAGACCTCCCACAGTGACAAGTAACAGATAACCAAAATATCTCCTGATAATGGGTGTAATGAATGAAATTCCAGAACAATTAGGGCTAAAAGGTAAACATAGAAGTAAGATGGGGTAAAAATGATGTTGGAGACCCAAAGCTGTGTTATGTTCGAATCCCAAATTATTCCGAAAATGATTATGTCATGGTATTGAATTGTTCTCTAATTAGGGGAGGGGAGGTAGTTTGTAGGCGGCCAGATAGCTTAGTCAGTAGAGCCTCAGTACGGTATTCTGAGGGTCCCAGGTTTGAGTCTCGGTCAGGCTTCACACGTTTATGTTTGATAGTTGTACACGAGTGCTATATTGCTGCTTGTTTTTGACCGTCACAAAATTATCCTATACGAATTTTTAATACTGAAATATACAAATTTAGCCCCATAAAAAAAAAAAAAAAAAAAAATATTTTTCTTTTTAAAAACGAAATATTATTAATATTTCAACAGACAAACATTCATTAGTCTTGTTGACATTAAAGCATGCTTTGAAAATAAGCGCAATATGCAGATTGACTAATCTATTGAGATCAGTTGTTCACGGTAAAAGTTTGTTTGTACCGGCGGATTAGCTCGGAAAACCCCACATTTCCGAATTGTGGATAACCTCTATTGTGATATATGTACTGTATAACTTTTATTAATTAAACAAGTTATATTCCAGAAGTTTCACCACGTCATTTTCCAATATAAATTAATATGGATACAATCTCGTTTTTGGGGGCGCAAGCCCCCAATGTAATTACGATAAATTCAGCTTACTACCCTTTGAACGCGTCTAGGCTATCTAGCTGCGCTGAGCAAAAATAGTTCCAATATTTTGCCATAATATTCAGATCATCATAATACCGTATCTATTTTGAAATTGACTGGTCATTTTATTACTAAATTTTAAATCCTTTTATCACAAAATTACATATACCATTGCTTTACGCGATTTGAATATTACTACGCTAGCAGTCGATAAAAATTTAATGAGAACCAGTTAATTTGTTCTACCTTCTGGTTCCCGATGCACGAGAGCCAAAGTACTTGCATACATTTGGTGCCAATTTTATCAAGTCATAAATTAACTAACTATCATAGAACACAATAATTCAGGAAAAATGGAATACGATTTTCATATTAGATAACTTTCAAGCTTAAAATGGTTAAAAAGTGTGAATGACAGAGTAAAAACTTGTATGCGTATGAATACGAACTATATTCCCTCTGACGTCATTTTCCCGAAATCGCCATCTTGGATAGTTATTCCGAGAAAAGGCTGAGAAGATTTGCTATCAATTACGAAGTCCCAGCTATTACGTTGATATTTTGGTTGCAATCTATTCTGTATGTATAATCATATAAGCTATTGATATATTTCGCTTGATAGACTGCAAATTTAAGTGCATTACAAACTCGGCCCTAAAACGTACTCGGCCCCGAGTCAGCTCGGCCTTTTTTCAACTCGGTCCACTTTTCAATTTATTAACATATTGGTTTGTTTTATCACTCTTTATTGTTGAAACCACATAATTAATATCTGGACTTATTCAGAAACATGGAAAGATATTTTCTTAAATTATTATTACATTTTTGACTACTTTTTGAACACATCTCTATAACTCAATTTACTGTATTAGCTATCTAAGCTAAACAAAATAGGCCCGCCCAAAACTTGTCATGGTATACAGGTAAAATGTTATAATTGGTGAAAAATGATAGTTTTCAATTTTGTGATCATGATTTTTGCAAGCGACTGGAGGTACTGCCCAAGCCCTGTAATGAATAAAATCTTATCCTAGAGGTCCCAAAATTTTAAAGGACTGGTAATAATTATAATTGTTAAATACAATATGACTTAAGTTCA